ATGGTTTGTATACTCCTTTACCCATACCTACTGAACCTTGGGTTGATGTATCTATGGATTTTGTTTTGGGCTTACCAAGGTCAAAAAGAGGCCACAATTCTATTTTTGTTGTTGTTGACAGGTTCTCGAAGATGGGACACTTCATTCCATGTCATAAAACTGACGATGCAACCAATATTGCGGATCTATTCTTCAAGGACGTTGTTGGTTTACATGGCATTCCAAGGACTATCGTTTCTGATCGCAATGTCAAGTTCTTGAGTTACTTTTGGAAGACATTGTGCGGAAAGCTGGGAACTAAGCTACTGCTTTTGACTACTTGTCATCCACAAACTGATGGACAAACAGAAGTGGTTAATAGGACATTGTCAACCTTATTGCGTTCTATTATTAAGAAGAACTTGAAGAACTGGGAAGAGTGTTTGCCGCATGTTGAATTTGCTTAGGTTAAATACCCTTTTTGGTCCCTCTACTATAGGAAAAAGCCCTTTTTTAGTCCCTGTACCAAAAAAATCCCCTTTTTGGTCCTTACTGTTCACAAATCCGGCCCCTTTTTAGTCCTCCCGTTAAATTTTGGGTGATGTGGCAAATTAATTAACGAAAAATTTTATTTTTTTCTTTACTTAAATTACGTGTGAAATCCATGTGGCAAAACTCGATGACATGGCCAAATTTTTTATCTTTAATTACCAATTTACCCTTATTTTCTTCTCCACCGTCTCCTTCCTTCAGCTTTTTTTTCTTATTTATTTTTTTTTTCTTACCTGTAGGCGAACCCAGGAGCGTGGGTTCGCCGCGATGAACCCACGAGTTGGGTTCATCGCGAACCCAGGAGCGTGGGTTCGTCGTGATGAACCCAGCTCGTGGGTTCGTCGCGAACCCAGGAGCGTGGGTTCGTCGCGAACCCAGGAGCCTGGGTTCGTCGCGATTAACCCAGCTCGAACCCAGGAGCTTGGGTTCGTCGCGATAAACCCAGCTCGTGGGTTCGTCGCAATGAACCCAGCTCGTGGGTTCGTCGCAAACCCAAGAGCCTGGGTTCATCGCGAACCCAGCTCCTGGGTTCGTCACAAACCCACGAGCCTGGATTCATCGCGAACCCAGCTCCTGGGTTTGTCGCGAACCCACGAGCAGGGTTCATCGCGACAAACCTAGCAGGGTATTTAACCTTTCTATTTCATCTTCGATTTACCATGTTATCAGTGTGGATTTTGTTCAATTAAGCTTTTCTTTTTCGTTTTCGCATTTGCAGATCATGTGTTCGATGAAACCCACTCAAATGCTAAGTTTACGAGCTTCTTACCAGGGATTTAATTCATGCCGCGGTTGAAGGGTTCAATGGTATTCGAATTTC